CCCAGAGCTGCAGCATCACACCCCTGGAGCCCCCTCCCCATCACTGCTGACCCGAAGGGGGCTTGGGGGGCTGGTAGAGCACAGCCATTGGTGGCTACACTGGAGAATGGTGAGTGAACCCCAGGAGCACCACCCAGCCCCTTCCCGAGCCAGGAGAGAGCAGAGGCTGCAGGGGGGACCTCAGAGAATAAACAAGTGATTGATTTATTTCCAACTCCAGTTTTAAAGCTATAAAGTACCTGACCTGAGGGGACCAATAGGCCCCCACAAACACAAGGATTGTCCCAGCAGTAGCAGGAAGAAGTCCCAGTACAAAACTGATTCACCCCATACCTAAAAAGTGTAGGAGTGGCACTGGCAGTGCTGATCCTGGTTGTCCCAGCTACAGGAGCACCTGGACACCTGGTGCAGTGTGCTCAGCCCCTTCCAGCTGTGTGGTGACCCCAGGACACTCCACCTCAACCTTCACATTGCAGGGATGGGGGAGGTATGAATGGAAAGGGGTGAAGTGAAACAGCCCCCCAGAGCAGGATCGGGCGATGGGATCCTGGGCTCTGAGCAGGGGGGTTTGGCAGAAAAAGCCACCAGTGGAGGGGAAGAGCCCTTTTGTGGTGGAGACCCTCACCACACTGAGCTACAAGCAGGGAGAAGTGGGGGGGGGGGCACAGCTGTGCAGGACCCCCCATAGTTAAGTCATGGGCACAGTGAAAGGGTGGCTGATGGGCAGAGATGCCCAGAGGTGCTGAGGTGTCCCATGTCAGGCTGGCACCCCACATCCAAGTGCCCCAGGGGGTTTGCAGCAATCTGCCCACGCTCTGGCTTCGCCGTCACCACGGCACAGGGAAGGGGCCAGGGCTGCCGTGCTGCTCTCGAAGACACCAGAAGAAGAGGAGCTGGGAAGTGCTGCTGTGAGGTCAGATCAGCTCCCGTTCAGGTGGGGTCAGAGGGGTGCCATGGCTCTGTTGGGGGAACTGGCTGTTGGCTCCTTCTCTCCCTCTGGCTCCACCTCCGTGTCCAGCGAGTCGATGATTTCCCAGGTGCCGGAGCAGCTGGATGTGGGGGGCTCTTTGTTGCTGCCCTGATACCACAGCCCAAAACTGCAGAGAGAGCAGATAATGGCCATGGGGGAGAAGAACCCTCCCAGGGAAGCTGCTGGATCCCAACCTCTCTCTGCTTTGGTGGCAGCAGGAGGACACAGCCTGGCTGCAGGCCCTGGGAGTGTGTGGCACCACAGGGGCAGCAGCAAGGCTTGCCCTGTCCCTGCCCAGGACAAGGCAGATCCTCCCTAAACCAATGACCCCCATTTTGGCAGCATCCCTGCCAGCCCTGCACGGGGCAGCCCAACTCCTTTCCCATCATACCCAAGCTCAGCAAGTGCCGGGTCCCAGCTAAGCCCCAATGCCCTCACTTGCAGAGCTGTCTGTCCCCACCAGTACCCCAGCACAAGAGCAAACTTACAAGCTCCTAATTTTGGATTCAGGAGGCTGAGCATCCACACAGTCTGTGCCATGAGCTGGGAGCCAGGAGCCCTCATCTTCATCACTGCAGGACAAAGAAATAGGGAGAAAAAACCTGCACTGAGCCACAGACACACCACAGCAGTGAGTGCTGGAGCCACCCCAGGGCTCCCTCTGGAGCTGGACAAACCTGTACCCATACAGTGCAGGGGCCAGTCTGCCTTGTCCAGTGCTCCCAGTGCCACCACCTTGCCTCCCTTTTGTCACACACACAGGGACAGTGGCATTTGGCCAGGCCATGTGCAACTGGTGACAGGGACACACGACTTGCAGCAAAGAGCTCAGGCCCTGCGGTGTTCCCAGGGCTACACCTGAGCAAGACACCAACCTAAGACATTAAACCTTTGATCTCCAGAGGGAGGAGGCAGCTCTGGGCCTGGGGGAGTTTCCTTCCAGGGTGTCACACCACGTGGAAACACCAGAGCCTGCCAGCCAGCACCAACCCTGCACGGGAGGCTCCTGTCAGCCACGGTCAGCTGGACTCACCTGCTCGCCGACTCCTCCGTCGTTCCCAGCATTTTGGCTCTGATTTTTTTTCTCTGTTTTTTGATATTTGACTTCATCGCGTTCAAGAAGAAGCCGGGAATTCTCTCCTCATTCAGCAGCTCCCTGGCAAAAAGCAGCCAACTGGTTAACCAACAGCCTGGGAAAGATTCCACCCCAGCTGAGTCACGAGCAGCCTCGTGGCCATGGGTGGCTGCAGGGACGGGAGGGACCCGGCTCACTGCCCCCACCACCACAGCAGGACTCACCGCTGGTAATAGGCCAGTTCCTCCTGCACCAAGAACAGGTTGGTCTTGAGCTCATTCCGCTCTTGCAGGATCTGCTGCAGCTCTTCCTTGGAGAAGCAGCACTGAGCAGGGCTCCTGTCCCCTTCCTGGTGCTGTGGCTCCTCCGTGGGTGATGGGGCTCCTTCCTGGGAGGATGGAAAGAGAGTCAGCAGGCAAGAGAGACCCTGAAACCCCCACCCAAAGGCTGGGTGCCACGTGCAGGCAGAGATAGAAGTCTCAGGAATGAGTTTGCTGCTGCAGCCCTCCATGGGCCAGCACCTGCTGCCCATCACCACCATGTGGCAAACCCTCCTCATCCTTCAAGTCCCACCTGGTTTTTCCTCCTGTCATCTCGCTTTGCTCCACCTCTATCAATTTTTACAGAAAAAGATGTTACTGGCATCACTGTTCAATTTTCAGCTGTGGGGTTACTTGAACAACCACGTCCTGCTGGCATTTGGGTGCTCTGGGTGTGCCAGAAGCTCCACACAGGGCTGGGAATGTCAGGTCAGTGTTAGTGATGCCTGGCAGCAGCAAGGCCACAGGCTCAGACTCACCAGGCCAGGCTCTGGCTGCTGAGTCTCCTGGGCTGTCCTGCTCCTCCTGCTCATTTCCTTCTGGATTTGCAGCATCGCAGCCTCCAGGTCCGACTTCTGCTCCAGAGCACTCTTGAGCTGAGCCTGCACCACGGCCACCTTGTGCCGCAGGTCCTCGTTCATGGACATGAAGCGATGCAGCTGTTCCTGCAGCTGGAGGGCCCAGGGCAGCCAAAAATGAGGCAGTGTCCCCACCCAGGGACATCAGAGCCACCGGGCAAGGCACTACCCCAGCAGGCTCAGCAGCCGTGACAGCCCTGGGGGGATGTGACATGAAAGCAGGTGCCCAGGCCCTTCACACCACACCCGTGAGCTCCCACACCCCTCACCGCCTCCGTGTCCCGGCTCTTGCAAACAATCTCGTGGGCCTGGGCACGAAGTTCATCCCTCTGCTTGTCCACCACCTCCTTCAGCCGCAGCATCACCTCCCGCTCCTTCCGTGCTGTGCTATCTGAGACCAGACACAGGCATGAGTTGCCTCCAGGATCCACGGATTCCCCCAGTCCCTCGACACTGCGAGGTTCCTCAGTGTTTCTGCCAGACTCTAACATTCCTGGTAGATCTCGGAGTAGGAACAGTGGAAAGAGGGAAGCTGAGAGCTTTAGACCACTCCAAACACATCCTTGTGCTGGCAAAGCAGCCCACACCCTATGCCTGCCTCCACCACCCTCCTGGGGGTGGTCCCAGCTTGGTCCCGGGGGCTCGGGGCTGCTCTGGGGGTTTGGGGTCCCTGTGTTACCTTGCAGAACAAGGTAACACTCATAGTCCCTGGTAGGACAGGTCTGCAGGGCTGAGGTCTCCAGGTTCCAGAGAGCAGCTTCAGCCCTGCACCCAGTCTGCCATCCCCCACAAGGACACCCTGTGGCATCAGGGGACCCCAAACCCGCTGAGACACCCACCTTCCTGGGATTGGCTCTCCGCAAGCTGCCCCAGGAGCTGCCGGTTCTGCTCCTCCAGGCAGGCCAGGCGGCCGTGCAGGGTT